GAATTTGATATTGACTCTTCGGCTGCTCCAGGGACAGAATTGTCAGCTTTTCCACATGCGACATATAGGCCAGGAGTCATAACTTTATTCCCTTTCGTTAATGACCTGATTATTTTTTTTCCCCTAGATAAACCATCTCTTTCTCAGGTCATCCCTGTCATTTAACATTTTGTGGCAATGTGGCAGCAACGAAATCTATAAATGCTGTTAAACAAGGTTCTCTTTCACCAGGTCAGCTCATCTAGAAGGGACTGCTCTCTCCTCACCTCCTTCTTGTGCAAAACTCCCTCAGACCATGATGATCCCTTACTTTCTCATTCCAACTCTGAGCTACTTGAGGTTACCTTTGCATGGTACTCAATCTAATCAGCATATTTATTTTAGACATTGCCCTGTACTCTGCCCTACCTGACAAGGATCATCAATTCCATACTGGCTGCCTTGATGTCTGGGTCCCAGCTGTCTGAAATGCTATCTGTTCTCATCAGTGTTCCCATCTTTCCTCCTAAATGCCTGTCTCTCTAGGCTTCACAGACACTTGGCAGCAGTGAGCAGAGAGCAAAGTCTATTGGCTTTTCACACTTCATGACAGGCTAACTGGTCGCTAGCTTGATGCACCCAAGTATTATGAAATTCTGCTAGTTCAGCTCCTCAAAGAAAGTGAGTGAAAAGGATGTTACTGAAAAAACAATGACTGCAGCCACTGCCCAAAACTGTCTCGTGGCAATTTACCACAGTTCTTCCATAGTTTGGATGAAATCGGATTATCCCTGTCTTCTTTGCATTATTGTAGTAAGGTAACTGTAGTAAGGGTTAAATGACTAACACATAGTTCAGAATGATGGGATCACTGTGGTTTCAATTCCCCTTCAGGTTCCAGTAGACTTGGCACCTGCCTCCTCACTCAGTCCATCTTTGTTGTGGAATAATGCCACCCACTCCCTCCACCCAAGTTGTATAGCTCCTTGTGTCTCTCTTTCTAACAGAGATATGCCAGTCTTCATTCACAGACTGTGGCTAATTGTCCACACAGTGAGATGGCTCTAGATAACATTAAGGTGGCATGGAGTAATCTCTAATGGTCCTGACTGATAAAAAGCATTGTACAGTATTGGATAAAAACTGGGTGATTTCTGGAAAGTGGAACAATTGCTTGGAAGACGAAGGGGCACAAATTCCACTTAATTTATTCATGGAACTATTGGTTGCTGCTTCATACTTGCACATTCTCCCCTACCATCTATGTCATGCTGTTAACATTTAAATGAAAAGACCAGTATTACAGGAATTGGCAATGAGACATATGGTCTTATCATTTGGTTTGCTCAGTGCTCCTGACCATAGTTGAGTTTGGCTAGGATCAGCATGGTCATGTGCTGCCAGTTGCATTTCTACATTTATAGGGTTCAAGCAGATTTGAGCTTCAGGACTGAACTATGGGACTTCATTTTCTATACTGGATGAAACCAATGACCCAAACCTTGGCTTCACAACGTCCAACTTTCAGAAATGCCCTAGCTGCTTATTTCAAATAGACCCTGAGAAAGTCTTGGTTTGATATGCAGAATTCAGTCACTTTTCCATTCAGGCATTGTGGCACAGATTACATTTGCAAAGCCAATGTGTCTAATCTCATCAGTGCATTCCGATTCTGCTTTGCCACCAAGATATGAATGCAAGATTGGATCCGTGACATCCCGTATTTCCAATTGGATTGTCTGGTTCTGCTCTCTATGGGGGGTGGCGTTAGTCTGTCCCAGAGTTGCATGCATCATGCAGATAATTCTGAAATGAATATTTTGTAAGTAATTGGATTTTGGCAGCCTCTTTGCAGTTTGCCCAGCAGCTGTAAACCTGCTCAGACAGTCAAAACCCAAAACTGAGTGCTCATTGGGGTAATTTAAAATTCAGTAGGATTTCAGAGAGAATTTCTCAATGATTAAATTTAGATTAATACAGTAGTAAGTTGGCTAATTTATATTTCTGTTCACTTTTCCTCCCCTGAACATTGTTAGATAATTAATGGAAATGGATTTCAGCAGCGTAGAAGTTTGCAAGGAAGTGGAATCAAGGGAGGAAGCAAGAATTGTCTACTGAAAATAGTGATGGTGATGTCCCAACAATAGTCATGCACTATAATTGATAATGCACACGACGTAAATGAGAATAGCCAGTCTAAAGTCACCAGAAGTACTTGTAACGAGAGGATCGACTTGAAATCTTTAACTACCTCCATCTGAAATGATTTCTTAAATGCATTTCTTGCATTTTCTTGCCCATATCCCCCCTGCCTTTACACAAACATCTCTTAGCTTTGTGTCCTTGACACTCATGATATCAGTACCTCTTGAACAATTTTTAAGATACAACCTAAGATAGGTTAGCATCAGAGACGCTAACGACAAATTTTTGGCGTTTGTGCCAAAATAAGTTATGTTTCTTCAGGTTTGTTTTAATATGAATCCTGTTGAACATCTGGGAACAACCTCAAGGAGCTTCCAAGTTCATATATCTACCATTACAAGCCTTTATGTAGCTTGACAGAAATGATTCATTTGTGACATTGAAGTAAATTCTTTCTTTGTAACACAGTTTTATGAATCTCAGACATTGTAGGACCAGTACCTAACCTGAGAATCTATTGGTAACTTGAGGCTAAAACATCTAATTAGGTGTGGAAGGGATTCTGCCCAATTGCGGCCCTGGGATACCAGACTCTGACATTGAGTAATTGGTATTATTTTTATCATGTTTAGAATAATTTATTTACAGGATGGGAATTGCATTTGAAATCCAAATTTGTAATAAGCTGTTTTGCAGATGTTGTAGGTTGGGAGGAACGGGAAAGGAAACCCAGGGTGCAAGACTTGGGGACAGTAAGGATGCTGGAAGCCAGAATCAATTGATGTGAAGCTGGAAAAACACAGCAGGTTGGACAGCATCCAAGGAGCAGGAAAGTCAACTTTTCAGGCTGACACCCTTCGTCAGGACAGGGGAGGGGGAGGGGAGCCCAGAAGTAAATAGTGGGAGGGGGTGGGGCTGGGGGAAGAGTAGGAGAGATGGTGATAGGTGGATACAGGTAGGGGGTTACTGTGACTGGTCTGTGGGAAGGGTGGAGCGGATAGATGCATAGGAAGATGGGATAAGCCTGGGGATGGAGGTATCTTGAAGCTGGTGAAGTCAATATTGGGCTGTAAGCTCCCAAGGCGAAATATCAGGTGTGGTTCCTCCAGTTTATATTTGGCCTCACTCTGATAGCAGAGGAGGCCAAAGCTGGACATTTCACCAGGGGTGTGGGAGTGGGCATTAAAATGGATGGCAACCGGAAGGTCTGCTTGGTTGATGTGTGCAGAGCACAGATGCTCTGTGAACTGATCCCCTAATCTGTGTTTGGTCACCCTGAAAGAAAGGAGACCACATCGGGAGTAAAGGATACAGTGGATAAGGTTGGATGAAGTGCAGGTGACTCTCTGATGGATTTGGAAGGATTGTTTGGGGCCTCGGACAGAGGTGAGTGGGGGAGGTATAGGGGCAGGCGTTGTACTTCCTGCGGTTGCAGGGAAAGGTACCGGGTGTGGTGGTGAAGTTGATTGGGAATGTAGAGCTGACACGGGAGTCACAGAATGACTGGCCCCAGTGGAAAGCAGACAGGAATGGGGAGGGAAATATCTTTTTGGTGGTGGAGTCTGATTGTAGGTGGCGGAAATGTTGGACGATGATGCGTTGGATTTGGAGGTTGGTTGAGCAGTACATGAGGACTAGGGGGACTCTATCGTTAAGGTTTTAGAATAGATTTGTAGCTCGGGTTGTGGATATTGTGGTTGGTTGGTTCGTACGAACATCAATTGGCTGCAAAAAGACACGACCAATACTCACTCATCTCTATCCGTATGGATAAGGAGAACCACCAATTCGACTGGGACAACACCAAGATCCTGGGACAAGCAAAGCAGAGACAAGCACGGGAATTGCTAGAAGCCTGGTGGTCCACGAAGAAAGCCATCAACAAACGCATAGAGCTCGACCCCATATACACTCCACTGCGAAGGAAAACCGGAAGTGAGGTAATCCAGCTCAACGGACTCCAGAGTTCAAATAACAGGTGGGAAAACACAACGGCACTTCATCTGAGGCTGCACTGATGATGTTACCCAGCAGGGTAATGAAACGTCTGCAGAAAAGCAATGAACCAGCTCGGCAAACCAACCAACCAGGACTCTACCCTTCTTGTTGTTGGGGGGAGGGAATTTGAGGGCAGAAGTGAGGGAAATAGAGGAGATGTGGTTAAGGGCATTGTTAGTTGCAGAGGAGGGGAAACTATGGTCCCTAAAATAGGAGGATATCTGGGATATCCTGGTGTAAACCGCCTCATCCTGGGAGCGGGTGCAGTGGAGGTGGAGGAATTGAGAGTATGGGATAGAATTTTGGCAGGAGGATGGGTGAGAGGAGGTGTAGTCGAGATAGTGATGGGAGTCAATGGGTTCAAAATGGATGTCGGTGGTGAGTTGGTTACCGGAGATGGAGACAGAGATGTCCAGGAAAGGGAGGGAGGTGTCAGAAATGGCCCAGATGAATTTGAGGGCAGGGTGGAAAGTGTTGGCGAAATTGATGAACTGTTCGAGTTCCTCGTGGGAACATGAGGCAGCACCGATGCAGTTATCAATATAGCGGAGAAAGGGGTAGGGGATGGTGCTGGTGTAATTGTGGAAGAGGGACTGTTCCACAAATCCTACAAAGAGGCAGGCATAACCCATGGTCATCCCTTCGGTTGTAGGAAGTGGGAGGAATCAAAGGAAAAATTGTTGAGGGTGAGGACCAATTCTGCCAAGAGAATGAGTGTGTTGGTGGAGGGGGACTAGTTAGGCCTACGGGGAGAGGAAGAAGCAGAGGGCTTTTAGGCAATCCTTGTGGGGGATGCATGTCTACAGGGACTGAATGTCCATGGTGAAGATGAGGTGTTGGGGGCCAGGGAATTGAAAGTTTTGGAAAAGGTGGAGACCATGGGTTATGTAGGTGGGGAGTTCCAGGACCGAAGGGGAAAGAACAGAGTTGAGGTAGGAGGAGATGAGCTCAGTGGGACAGGAGCAGTCAAAGACAATGGGTCAACTGGGGCAGTTGGGTTTATGGATTTTGGGTAGGAGATAGAAATGGATGGTGTGGGATTGGGGAACTAGGTTGAAGGCTGTAGACGGGAGATCTCTCAAAGTGATGAGGTTGTTGATGGTCTGGGTGATGATGGCTTGTGATCAGAGGTGGGGTCAGGATTGAGGAGAAAGTAGGAGGAGGTGTTGGAGAGTTGGCATCTGGCCTCAGTGATGTAGAGGTCAGTTCGCCATGCTACCACCGGACCCTCCTGCAAAAATGCTATCCCTGTCTGACTTGCTGTGCTTTTCCAACTTCACATCTATTGACCCAGGGTACAAGACTATTTGAGTGGTGAACAGAATTAAAACAACTGCAACAATATTGATCTCTGCTTTGTTACCATCAAACTGTGAGCCCAAAGCTTTATAAATTCTAATTCGATAATTCATAGTACCGTAACATGTGCATGTATGAATTAAAAGAATGAAATTAGCACTTTCAAAAAGTAACAATTCAGTGGGGAAAGGGGAGGTTTATCTAAACTGCCCGTTTAACCAAAATCCCAAGTGAACCCTTGTCATTTGCATTTTCAGGCAGTCAGGGTCATCATGTGAAAGGCTGCTTTGAGCTTGGATGAGAAGTAGTGGCGAGCACGGTTTAGAAAAAGTGGCAATGATAGCTATCTCTGATAAAGTGCTAACCGCCGACAAGGATCTGACTGGGGAGCAAGTTCTTGCGTGACGTCCCCTTTTAATTAAATTCTGTACGGCTGGTTTCAGTTTGGGAATAATGCAGTGCTGTTGCTAAGATGCCAGTACAATGTAGATGGTTGTTGTGTGCTATTTTGGGATACATCTGAAACTGCATGCTGCTGGTAGGTACAGATCTGATACTATGGGCAATGAAGTTGAAATTTAATCAACACAAGAAGCATGTTGGCCAATGCAATTTCTTACACCACCCCTTCCCCATATAATGTATTGATGTGTTTCTGTGCCTGGTGATATTGTCCACACGGGCGGTCAATTATCTGACCTTCTCACTTAGTCCAACAAGCAATTTAAACAAGCAATATCCTACAGCGTAGGTAAAGCTGAGTCTGTGTTAAAGACTGTTTGTCTGCTTCAGGAGCAGACCTCTCCTTGTCTACGAAAATTTCAGCTCATGTTGTACTATCCCTCATGCCACTACTCCAGTCTTCTGTCCACTTGTATTGTCAGTTGTCAAACCATCAATTCATCTTGTTGTCAAGGAGAAATAAACCATGATATTAAGATGCTGAATTAGAGTAATCAGAGAGCAGAAAGGGAGAAGGCTGTGCCTACTAGGAGGAGCTGACTGTCAATTTTTGATATCAAAAGATTTGATATAAAAAGATTTTAAGCTGTAGAAACTGAAAGGGTGAGGTGGGAAAGTGGAGGTGAATTCAGGCATGATGGTTAGATAACACCAAACTTGTTATTCGAAACTTGAAGGAGGAATGGATGCCTGAGCACGATAAAGAGGTTCACAGTTTGGAATTCCTGGGAGAAATCCAGGTTGTGTAGGAGCTTGTGTGATGATTCTTGACTTTTGCACAAAGAAGATGGCAGGAGGAGGATGTGAGAGGAGGAGGTGGGAGTTGACGTGACTATTGACAAGTAGCATCCAGTGGTGGGTGATATTCCCCATCCTCCAACTTTTACCCAGAACAACCTGAGCTGTTAACATGCCTGAGCAGGAGGCCATCCATGTCCAGATGTATTTACGTGCCTAGGTTGAGTTATGATCACCCACAGATGTGCCAAGCATGTGCATGGTTGTTTCAGTGTTCCCCAGTAAGCATAGAATTATAGAATAACGCAGAGCAGAAAGTGACCATTCAGTCCATCAATGTAATAACTGACATATTAAAGTCTGACCTGACTGTTAAATTCAGCTTTGAGCATTATTCGCTGCACTGGTAGTTAGTTCCCCTGAGAATGTCATGCACTTCCCATGTGCAATAGAATATCTAATTCCCATCTCCATGTCTTGTTGGATGAGACACCTGTAAATGGATGGAAGTTGTTTTTATGAGATAGATTGGGAATAGGAACAAGAGCTCTATGACATAGTGCTGGTGAGAGATGTGCTCAAAATGGGCTTTTCTTGCTGCGCAGAGATAATGTACAATGAAGAGATGACTATTTGGTTTGTACCACACCTGGATCATGCTTATATGATGTGAGGTCCCAAAGGATTTATACTTAAAATAATTAAACAAATCTCCTGATCATGTTAAATTGGAATATTCCTAATTTGCCTGAACTCCTATAGAGAGAGAAAACTGCCTAGCAATGCCTGATAATTTTCCTCTCTGAAAATTTGAGGACAATGAATAAGGAGAGGAGAGACAGGCTTTGACAGTGATGTACTCCTTGGTGAATTACTCATTGGCACATACTATCTAAGGCTGTCAGACAAAAATAGTGACTGTGTGGGAAAAGGATTTTTTACAAACTGTGGGTCCCTACCTTAGGACTGATCCATTCCTTCAAGGGAGAATGGTCATGGGGAACAGCTCTGACACTGAGAGGCATTTACATTTGTAAATTTCCATCTGCCTAATGTTTCCTTTCTTGCTCACTCAGTTAAAAATGGCCCTAATGGTGTCATCCACATCAATAAATTGCTTTGTTACAGTACACGAATAACATTTAAAGTGGGCATAAAATCTCTTGGATCTCCTTCAGGCTGTACATTGACTAGATCGTTCTATTTAGATATTCTCTGCCTCTTTTGAAGGCAGAGACCTTTTGGCTGGTTTAGTTTCCATTCATGCATATTAACATTGTCCACATGTGAATCTCCAGTTTCGAAAGATCATGAATGAGTTCAAATGAACGAATGAATAAATGAAAAAGTACAGCACAGAAACAGGCCCTTCGGACCTCCAAGCCTGTGCCGACTACCATGCCCTAATTAATCGTAAAAACAAACCTGCCATTTTTCAATCCATATCCCTCGATTCCCTCCCTATTCATGTACCCATCTAGGTGCCTCTTAACTGTCTTCAATGTGCCCGCTTCCACCACCTCTTCTGGTAGTGCATTCCAGGCTGCTACTACTCTCTGCGTGAAAAACTTCCCTCGCACATCTCCCTTAAATTTTCCCCCTCTGACCTTGAACCTGTGCCCCCTTGTATTTGAAATTTCAATCCTGACTATCCACCCCATCTATGCCTCTCATAATTTTGTAGACCTCTATCAGGTCTCCTCTCAGCCGCAGTCTTTCCAGTGAAAACAGTCCTAGTCTTTTTAACCTTTCATTACAGTCAATGCCTTGGAGACCAGGCAACATCCTGGTGAACCTTCTCTGTACTTTCTCCAAAGCTTCCACATCCTTCTGGTAGTGTGGTGACCATAACTGCACACAATACTCCAAATGCAGCCTAACAAGTGTTTTATATACCTTCTATATAAAACAATATGGTTTTATATAACTTTTACATAGTTCAAGAGTGGACTAGTCTGTGAAGTTCTTCTGTGTGAATGGCCTCCCTGCCAAATGTTTACATGTGAGTGATAGATATGTAATAGCACATGAGCAGGGGGCCTGCCAATTGGAAAAGTGGGGGATTGTTGCCTTGTGGGTAGAGTGTGGGAATGGGGGAGAAAGAGGGGTGGCACAGTGGCTCAGTGGTTAGCACTGCTGCCTCACAGCGCCAGGGACCTGGGTTCGATTCCACCCTCCGGCGACTGTACATTCATCCTGTGTCTGCGTGGGTTTTCTCTGTATGCTCCAGTTTCCTCCCACAGTTCAATGATGTGCAGGTTAGGTGCTAAATTGCCTGTAGTGTCCAGGGATGGTGCAGGCTAGGTGAGATAGCCATGAGAAATGCAGGGTTATAGGGTAGGGGATTGGGTCTGGGCAGGATGCTCTTTAGAGGGTCGGTGCAGACTTGATGGGCCAAATGGCCTGCTTCCACGCTGTAGGATTCAATGACATGATTCTGTGAAAGGACATCAGGTTTCTAGTTTGTCTATAATTTGGTCTTCATTGCCAGACCTGAACATTGCAGAGAAATGCAATGGGTTAATGTGCAGGATGTGCATGGAACTCAACCTTTCTAAAATGGCTCTCGGTCGATTTGTATAAAAATAGATCAAGGAAGAAGAGCAGCCCCGCCCCCCTTCATCACCCATCTCCCCTGTAGCTACTGCAGGCTTCATTAAGCAGCTGGTCCAAGAAACCGAGAAGGAGGCAAAAGTAGCACGGGAACATGAGAAGGAACGACGGCATGAGCTCCAGGTGAGAGGCAGGGCTGGGAGGCAGGGACAGCTAAGTATGGGAGGGCTCAAGTGAAGGGAAAATCTCAATGTTGAAAAGTGCTCTGGATGGATTTAGAATCAGGGCTCACAGCACAAACAGAGACTCCCTCAGCCCAGTTCTTCCTCATTCATTCACGGAATGTGGGTATCACCGGCTAGGCCCAGCATTTATTGCCCAGAGTGCAACCACATTGCTGTGGGTCTGGAGTCACATGTAGTCCAGACCAAGTAAGGATGGCAGTTTCCTTCCCTAAAGGACATTAGTGAATCAGATGGGTTTTTCCCAACAATCAATAATGGTTTCATGGTCATCATTAGACTCTATCGGATTTATTAGACATTAGATGCTCATTAGACTCCAGATTTTTATTGAATTCAAATTTCTACCATCTACCATGACGGGATTTGAACCCAGGTCCCCTGAACATTACTTAGTCTCTGGATTAACAGTCCAGCAATAATATGACTAGGCCGTTGCCGTCCCATTGTGCCCGTACTGACTCTCTGTACAATTTATTCAATTAGTCCCACACTCCTGCTTCCCCATGGACATTCTCTTTTAACTATTTATCCAATTCCTTCCGATAGTTACCATTGAATCTTTTTCAACTATCTTATCATGCAATGTATTCCAGATCATCACAACTCCCTTCACCTTGCGTTAGAGTCATAGAGTTCCATGGGACGGAAACAGACCCTTCAGTCCAACTTGTCCATGTCAACCAGATATCCTAAATTAATCTTGTTCCATTTGCCAGCATTTGGCCCATATCCCTTTAAACTCTTCCTAGTCATACACCCATCCAGATGCCTTTTAAATGTTGTAATTGTACCAGCCTCCACCATGTCCTCTGGCAGCTCATTCCATACATGCACCACCCTCTGTGTGAAAATGTTGTCCCTTAAGTCCCTTTAAAATGTTTTCTCTCTCACTGCAAACTTGTGCCCTTGAGTTTTGGTCTCCCCTACCCTGGGGAAAAGCCCTTGGCTATTCACCCTATCCATGCTCCTTGTGACATTATAGACTTCTATAAGGTCACCCCTCAGCCTCTGATGCTGCAGAGAAAATAATCCCAGCCTATTCAGCCTCTCCCTATAGCTCAAATCCACCCTTGGCAAAATCCTGGTAAATCTTTTCTGCACCCTTTCAAGTTTCGCAACATCTTCCCTATAGCAGGGAGACCAGAACTGCACACGGTATTCCAAAAGTAGCCTCACTGATGTCCTGTACAGTCACAACACAACATCACAAGGCCTATACTCAGTGCACTGACCAATACGGCAAGTGTACCAACCGCTTTCTTCACCACATTGTTTACCTGCAAGGAACTATGAACCTGCACCCCAAGATCTCTTTGTTTGGCAACAGGACCTTACCATTAAGTGCATAAGTCCTGCCCTGATTTGCCTTTCCAAAATGCAGCACCTCACATTTATCTAAATTAAACTCTTTCTGCCACTCCTTTGTCCATTTGCCCATCTGATCAAGATCTAGATGTACTCTGAGGTAATCTTCTTCACTCTCCATTACACCACCAATTTTGGTGTCATCTGCAAATTTACTAACCATACCTCCTATTTTCACATCCAAATCATTCATATAAATGATAAAAAGCAGTGGACCCAGCACCGACCCTTGCAGCAACTGCTAGTCACAGGCCTCCAGTCTGAAGAGCAACCCTCCACCACCAGCCTCTGTCTCCTACCTTCGAGTCACTTTTGTATCCAAATGGCTACCTCCCCCTGTATTCCATGTGATTTAACCTTGCTAATCAGTCTACCATGCAGTGCCTTGTCCAGCATCTTGCTGAAGTCCTTACAAACAATGTTCACTGCTCGGCTTTCATCAATCTTCTTCATTTCTTCAAAAAATTCAATCAAGTGATATCAGTTGATGTTAAAAAAGAAAGGCAACCTGCTCAGACTCATTTGTCAAGTAAATGGAACTGCAGCTGGGATTTTTTGGCCCAGTGGTAGAGGCCCTCCCACTCACTAGTGGCTGTTTATGAGCAGGATTATAATCTTAATCAGTTGCAATGCCTCAGTTTCAGGACCAATGAGATGTTGGGTGGTAAGACTTTGCTGCCCTTTCTTAAAAATAATTCTTGTCCATAGCATTATTTGTGCTTTTTTAAATTTTCTGTCAATGACAAGTAAAATTGGAACGAATATTTCAAGTTGACTTGAATTAGTGACCTTTTGATTCCAACATAGGCTGGCAGGAGTATTGCAAACTTGATAGGATTCTCCTAGAGTCTCCAAAAACCGAACACTAATCACCAGAATAATGCATGCTACCAGGAAGAAAAGTCATTAATAATGAAAGGGCATTAAAAAAACATTTTTAAAATTTTCTTTGAACATTTTAATTCCTTAGTTATGCCTTTATACAGGATTTTGACCCTCCAAGCATCCAGTAGGATCATGACTGATCATTCCAAATTCCTTCCTCCCCTGATAACTCTTCACCCCCTTGTTTATCGAAAATACATCTACCTCCACCTGAAAGAAAAATTCAAAGACTCTGTTTCCCCCTCCCTTTGAGGGGAACAGAAAAATGGTGAAATTATTGGAAATGAAGGGGGATTAGTGCAGGAAAGGGCTGTTGAACCAATAGTCAGGATTAACCAATTGGTTAACAAAGATTCTATTTGCTTTCCAATTGGTCAATAAATGCTGGAACTCATCAATGAAATGCTCAGGGATACATCCAACCTGAGTTGGCACCTCTAGTCGGCAGCCATTAATTCTGGTGGTACTCATTGTTTCTCATTGGGAAAGCTCACAAAAACCACACCCTGATACTATGAACATAAGAATTGACCATAATTAACCATGAAAGATGAGGAACATTCTTGCTACACTGCCAGGAACTTGGTTTAGATTTGGGTGCTACACCTGAGCGTTTCTGACCATTGTATAATCTGTCTCTGTCTCTGTTATTGTCTCTGAAACTATCTCCATCTCTAGAACGTGCAGACATCTTTGTGTCCCTCCACCTTTGGCCATTTTTCCATTCACCAATCCATTCTAATTGATTATGCCTTCAGCCACCTAGATCCTAATGCCTAGATTCTCCTTCTTAAAGCTTTCCATTTGGTTACCCCTTCTCTTCCTCTAAGGCATATAGTAAAACCTATCCTTTGACAACTTCTTTAGTTACTTGACCTAATATCTCTTTATTTGGCTGAGTTTGATAATGACCCCATGAAATGCCTTTTATCACATTTAATAAGCCATATAAATGTTATTATCTTGACGCATACAGTATGTTATCATGTACTATAGTTGCAAGATACAACTGACTCATTTGTATATGCTGTGTTGCCAGCTATTACCGGCTTGTGATTTGGGTAGCTTGCTGTCATCATTCTCTTCTCTAAACTGCTCTAAAGTTTGTCATAGTTTACAGTGGGAGAGGGAAGCCACCAGACTCTAATAATAAAAGGTTCTTACTTGAAACATGAGCATGCAAACAAGAAACAAGACAAGGCCCTTTGTGCCTGCTCTATCACTCAATAACATCATTGCTGATCTGTTTTTACGCTCAATTCTACATTCCTGATAATCTTTCATCCCCTTGGTAATCAAGAATCTTGTAGTTTATCGCTTGATTGCAATTAGGTCCAAATTACATTAGTAATCTAGATATTGTGACTGAGATTATGGGAGACCTGTAGATGAAGGCATTCACCCTACAAGATTCTGCAGAGGTTCTGCCTGTTTCCACCCCAAGTCTTTATGGCATTATCAAATTGGTCTCCAATATTAACCCTTTCAAAACCATTAATTTACACTGCAACATCTAGCACCTATCTTGATTCCATATCACATTTCAGTTAAAGGTGCCACAGCTGATTAAAATTGTGCTAAAATGGGCCAGAATAATGTATTGTTATTATACATATGTCTTTTTATTATTTGGCACAATTTTTGATTGGATTGTTGCATGTTTAATGCCTTCTGATTTTTCCAGAATTGTTAACTGCATATGACGCTCTGTGCATGCCAATGATAAAGATATTTTCATCCCATCCTTTCCGTCTTTATTAATCTGAACTCTTCCCCTGTCTCCCAATGCAGCGACCGGCTAAGTTGGATGACAGTGTGGTTCAATATTTTTTACATTTAACTCAGAATGAGAGCCAGCCAGTAGATGAGGCAATGGATAGTGGAGCCCAGCTATTAGTGAATGGTCACCATGGCAATGGGCCTGAGGGTCAGTCTGCGCCACCCCCCGAGAAAAAGGCCGAATGCAAACGACCAAAACTGTTTCAGAAACCCAAAGGAACCCAAGTGAGGGGACTATCAGCAGGTAAATGCACCACCGAACTGGAAAAGCCAGGCAGTCCTCAGCAAAATAATGGCTCATTCCCAAACAGTCAAGGCCCGGTTGTTATGGAAACCAATGCCAGCACGCAGCAGCCCAGCAGAAATGAGGAGCTATTATCAATGGAAAATGGGACATCTCAACTGGACACAGGGAAACTTTCACAAGAGCCCAGTTCTCAAGAAACTGAGAGCCCAGAGGTGGAGAATGTAACGGAACGCACAAGAGAAAGTCTCATCGATCACGAAACAAATCGAGGGACTGAGGAAAGTCGAGTGGATTTAAAGAAGGTAATTTCTGTCAATTACCGAATTCAGGATTTTAAAAGTTCTCTAATTGCAGTAATCAGAATGTGGAGCTTTACTCTCAGAATGTACTGAATTGTTTTCAGACCTTGCTGATGGAGAGGCAGGTGATCTGATTGCAGTTTTCCCAAGAGGAAATTCAATATTCTCTCAAGTTCATTTTTAAATTTGACTTTCCTTTTACATATAGTAAGCCACGTACTTTAAGCTAGCTTTCATGGTCAAAGGATTTCAGGCTAATTTACAAACTTTTAAATTTGCTTCTGGTATCTGCAGCAGCTTTTTTATTAAAGCTGCAAAGCTTTCCTCCTTTCCTTTATTTGGTATTTGGCGGAAATATAAGGGCTATAACATATAATGAGTTCAAAATGTCTCTTTTTGTAGAAACCTTCTCTATTGAACATGGTCCATAAATATTTTCTGATCAATCTGAAGTGGGACTTGAACCCCAGGCTCCCTGGCTCAGATGTAGAGGCACTACCACTGTTCCACACGAGCCCAGTCTGTATTTGAACATTTTAATTGGCCTGTCGAGATATATTATGATGCACTTCAGAAGAAGGTGGGGCTTGAACCTAGGCCCTGTGGCTCAGTGGTAGGGACACTATTACTGTGCTACAAAATCACTTGACCATGGTCTATATTTTACTGCAGTGAATGCACATCAGCTGAACCTGTATTTTTCTTTTGTGTTTTCCTTGCTGTTAGGTGAGCGAAGATGTTTGGTATGAGACTGACCAGGTCTGGTATGTCAACAAAGAAGGATTCACTTTAGGTAATTACTTTAAATTCTTGATAGCCTATTAATTCATAGACACCCTTCCCAAATCAAAATCAATGCCTGAGAAACAGGATGAGATGACTTTGTTTCCCATTCATGTATTGTTGAAATATTAGTGATCGGCTGGTCCCTTTGATGGAATAAGACCAAATGTCATGCCCTTCTGTTGACCTTGAATCCTTCACACCTTTAAAGGGGATGTTAACCATTTCCATCCTAAAGATCCCATGGCATGACTCAGAAGGTCAGTTCTCCCAGTGTCCTGACCAGCAGAATCAAAGACAGATTAATCTTTCATTTTTACTGTGGGATTGCATGTGTACAATAACCATCATATTCGCCTATACATCAAAGCAATTGCATTTCCCAGAAGTTTTATATAAATTACAAATGATTTATTTCCAATAGATGCTGATATCTGGGCAATATGTTCAGCTGGTAAAATTCCGAGTCCAGAACGTTGTACAGTTTTCTGTGACTGAAAGGGACGGGGGAAAATATTGAAGTGTCTTACTAAAAAGAAAACGTTGCAGTTTTCTCACAAGAGCCTCCATCAGATAGGGAAACACATCTCTCAATCCCAATTATATTTGTCTAATCCCATCCAGGACCCAATACAAAACTATACAAATGTGGAGATGCAGGGGAAAAAAAAACCCTATTTGGACTTCATACAATTGAAGTTTCTCTTCAAGAAGGATTTCAAGAGGATTTGATTAACTATTATTCATGCTTTATACACATTCACTGATGTCTGTGTCTGCTCACTCATTCACTTAATGCAAACTTTTACTTGAATGGTCTTTAGTTCTGGGCCAAGGGGCCAAGGGGTGGCAGATGGAGTTTAATTTAGATAAATGCGAGGTGCTGCATTTTGGTAAGGCAAATCAGGGCAGGACTTATACACTTAGTGGTAGGGTTCTGGGCAGTGTTGCCAGATAAAGAGACCTTGGAGTACAGGTTCATAGTGGAGTCGCAGACAGACATGTAGGGAAGAAGGTGTTTGGTAGGCTTGCCTTTATTGGTTAGTACACTGAGAATAGAAGGTAGACAAATAGGAGGCTGGAAGAAAACAGCAAGCCAGAAAGCATCTGGAGGAAAGGAGAAGTCAACATTTTGGGTATGACACTATCTGTTGACTGTTTCAGTATACCCAAAATGTTGACTGCTCCTTTCCTCCAGATGCTGCCTGGCTTGCTATCTTCTTCCAGCCTCCTGTGTGTCTACTTTGGATTTCAGCATGTGCAATTTTTTTGTCTCTAACCATTGAGTATAGAAGTTGGAATGTCATGCTTTGTTCAATTCTGGTCTCCATGTCAAAGGAAAGATGTTGTTAAACTTGAGAGGATGCGGAAAAGATTTACAGGGATGTTGCCAGGGTTGGAGGGTTTGAGCTATAGGGAGAGGCTGAATAGGCTGGAGCTATTTTCCCTGGAATGTTGGAGGTGAGGGATGACCTTATAGAAGTTCATAGAATCATGAGGGGCATGGATAGGGTGAATAGCCAAGGCCTTTTCCCCAAAGTAGAGGAGTCCAAAACTAGAGGGGCATAGGTTTATGGAGTGAGAGGAAATATTTAAAAGGGAACTAAGGGGCAACTTTCTCAGGAAGAGTGTGATGCGTGTATGGAATGAGCTGCCAGAGGAAGTGCTAGAGGTTGGTACATTTACAACATGTAAAAAACATCTGGATGGGTACATGAATAGGAAAGATTTAGAGGGATATGGGCCAAATGCTGGCAAATGGGATTAGATTAATTTAGGATATCTGTTTGGTATGGATGAGTTGGACCAAAGGGTCTGCTTCTATGCTGTATATCTCCATGACACCATCTGTTGATTATAACTGCAACTTAGGAAGCATGGTTTGGACCTCTTATTGATTAAAATGTTGGCACTGTCACAAGCACACTTTTGTTAAGAAAACATGTCTCACTGAATCATGCATAGAAAAGTCTGAAAATCTCCTCCTCCCAACTGAAAAACTCTCCAGCTCCTTCCTCATCTCCAAACTCGCACCAACATCTAATATTAAAAACCTTAGACCATTCAGAGGCTACAGAGTAGAACTCTGTGGATACGCGTAAAGTCATAGAGATCTACCGCACAGAGAAAGGCACTTCAGCCCATTGAATCTGTACCAGTCAAAATTCATCAGCTAACTATTCTATTTCTATTTTCCAGCACTTGACCCATAACCTTGTATAGCCTTCACATCACATGTATGCATTGAAATACTTCTTAAATGTTAGAATAGAATAGAATAATCATTTATTGCCTCTTGTATTCTTTACAAAAAAACCTATAGTGAAAAGTGTTTAAGTTATCATACCACAGCACTTATATTTGCAAACAAAACGCATAGATAAGAAAACAATTAAAAAATAGGATTAAGCCAAAGTCCATCTTATTGACTTATGGACTACCTTACTAAATGTTGTGAGGGTTTCTGATGGAAATGCTTTCCCTCATGCCTCCTATAAACCTCCCGCCCCTCACCTTAAATCAATGCCCCTGGTATTGATTGTTTTCCTCTTGATGGAACATTCTTCCTGTCTGCCCTAACTATGCCCTTCATTATCTCATATACCTCAATCATGCCCTGTCTCAGTCTCCTTTGCTTTAAGGACATAGACCCAGTCTTTCCAATCTCTCTTCATAATTGAAACTCCCCAGCCCTGGCCAATGTCCCTCTGCACCCTTTCCAGTGCCGTCACAGCCTGATGCAAATCATGAACAGTTTCCTTTCCCTTACCAAATGCAAACTGAGAGAACAGTCAGTGTATGTGCCAGTCCTGTCTCTGATAGAATAATATTCTCTGATTAATACCGGAACTGAATTTAGCTAATCCTTTTCCTTTGGGTCCGTGAGGGATCAGCTGGCAGGACTTTTACCTCTGAGGCAGTCAGTCAGAAACTTGAGCATATAGGCTGTTGGCCCAGGGCAGGACGGAGGGAGTGCTGCACTGGTGAAGGTATTGACCCGGGGTGAGATGTTAAACTGAACAGGGGCTGGAAGAGGGTAGTGCCTGAGGTGCTCATTATTGGGGCTCCCATGGGAGTAGCCTATACTCTTGCGGGAGGAGGGGGTTGGGGAGGAGTTGGGAGATGGGACCATTGGCCATCTAGAGCTCATCAAACAGACAAGGGGGGGTTAAGGGCAAATTCAACCCCTAAAAGAAGGAAAAATTCAATCACAAGGATGTGGGGAGCTGCCTGTCCAATTAGAGTCTGCTTTCTCCCTGTGCTTGCTGCTGAGAGCTTGAGTATTGAAACTATTTGTAGCAACCACAGACTAGAACCATCCTCTGATTGGAGATGCAGTAAAAACGTACATGGTGGTAGTCAGGGGTCACTAGGCTAGAGAATCGCGAGTTGGCAGGGCCAGGGCCAGTGAGATGCAATTTGCTTAGTTGATTGGAGATATAGAGAGAGACAGAAGAGAAGGTGCAGGGATTGGGACAGAAGAAAGAGTGGAGGCTGCAGGGATGTGTGACAGACAGGAGAGTGGGAGAGAGATTACAGGAGGGGAAGAGAAGGGAAAGGAAGGCTGCAATGTGGGGAGAGAAGGAAGCTTTAGCGGTGGAGATGTGGTGGAGAGAGGAGGCAGCAAGCCACAGGGAAGAGTGAGAGGGTGCCTGCAGGAGCAGGAAGGCTGCAAGGGGTGGGACAGTGGAAGGGAAGCTGTAAGGTGTGAGTAAGAGGATAGAAAGACTGCAAAAGAAAGTGAACAACTTTAAATCTCTCAACAAAGGAATACTCAGCTGACTAGAAGCAAAGCAAACAGGAACTTAGGTAATGTATTCCTTGCAAATGATTGTGGAATAAGGTGTCATATTCTCAAGAGGTGCAATGTGAGGTGGGGAAGACTGGCATATCTAATTATAATGAACACCGAGCCAATTGTTAAATTTAAATCTGAGATTGACATCTGAAATGGATCATTAGGCTAAACTTTCCAAGTTTGTGCATATCTGATAGAAGTGCATCAGCTGTGACCTTACCAAGCTGAGGAAGGCGTGTTTAGAGTGATGACTGCTTGTGTGTAGAACTGTGTTGGTTATTTTGGAGAAGAAACTTTTGTTGCTAACTTACGCCTGTTGTCTTGTGCCAGTCTAAACACTGTGGGGTCAAAGTGATTAATGCTTTCAATATATGTTGTGGCTTTACTTTAATGGAGCTTTGATGTTAATTGAGGATATTGATGTGCTTTTCCAATTCTGTTTCTGTCATCTGTCTGATGTCAACATAATTATAGTAGGTGTTGGCACTATGTGACATCATCACTCAGTAACTAAGTTAGTTTGAATGAAAAAGGAGCCCATGAAAACTAAAACGTACCCCCAAAAAGTCAAAAAGTAGCCATCAAGAACATTTCAACTCAGCCCTCAGAAAAAATCAGATTTTGACGCTGTTCCAAAAGTTTGAAGGGTGCGAAAGGAAAGAACCAAGGCTGATGATTTCTCTCCCTGGCCCTGAAATTGTAGCCCCCCTTCTGTCTTGCTTGAATGTAAAATGAAATCCAGGCTCTTTTTGATGAACTGTAGAGGCGTTCGTCCAACTTTTGGCTAATATTTATCTCACAACTTAGCCACAGACTCATAGAGTCAAACAGCACGGAAGCAGACCCTTCATCAACCCCATGTGTGCTTGAGCACATTGTCTGGTCTGAGATTGTGAAGGTTGCTATAAAATTGCCAGCATTTGACTTTTTAACATTGGAATTGTGCTCAGTGACTATGTACTAGACTCTTCCCCTCTCAACTCCTACACCGTTGCACCATTAGGACTGTTGGCTTCAGTGAAGATTTTCCAACTGTTGGATAGTTTCACAAAGAAATCTATTCCCCCTCTCATCAGCCACAGTGCTCAAACCAGATGTTGGAACACCTGAGCTTCCTGATGGCCAGGCCCGAATCCGCATTGAGAGTGACAATAAGATCATAGACACAGATGAAGAGTTCATTCACAAAGTGAGTATTTGTCAACCTGGGCATTTCTTTTTGTTTCATTTTGTCTTTTCAGACAAACATTATTGTTCAATCTGCTTACTCACAAATGAACTTTGACGTGGAGGATCTTGTAGTCCAGTGGGTAGTGTCCATGTCTCTGACTCAGTAGCTCCAGGTTCGAGCTCCGCTCCAGAACTTGAGGACCATGGAAAAGCAGTCATAGCATGGTCAGAGATAGTAGGAACTGCAGATGCTGGAAAATCTGAGATAACAAGGTGTAGAGCTGGATGAACACAGCAGGCCAAGCAGCATCAGAGGAGCAGGAAGGCTGACGTTTCAGGCCTAGACCCTTATTCAGAAATGGGGGAGGGGAAGGGGATTCTGAAATAAATAGGGAGAGAGGGGGAGGTGGATAGAAGATAGATAAAAGGGAAGATAGGTGGAGAGGAGACAGACAGGTCAAAGAGGTGGGGATGGAGCCAGTGAAGGTGAGTGTAGTTGGGGAGTTAGGGAGGAGATAGGTCAGTCCAGGGAGGACGGACAGGTCAAGGGGGAGGTATGAGGTTAGTAGGTAGGAGATAGGGGTGGGGCTTGAGGTGGGAGGAGGGGATAGGTGGGAGGAAGGACAGGTTAGGGAGGCGGGGACATGCCGGGCTGGTTTTGGGATGCGGTAGGGGGAGGGGAGATTTTGAAGCTTGTGAAGTCCACATTGATACCATTGGGCTGCAGGGTTCCCAAGCCGAATATGAGGTGATGTTCCTGCTACCTTGGGGTGGCATCGTTGTGGCACTGCAGGAAGCCCAGGATGGACATGTCGTCTGAGGAATGGGAGGGGGAGTTGAAATGGTTCGCGACTGGGAGGTGAAGTTGTTTATTGCGAACTGAGCGTAGGTGTTCTGCAAAAACGGTCCCCAAGCCTCGGCTTGGTTTCCCCGATGTAGAGGTGGCCACAACGGCAACAGCGGATACAGTATACAACATTAGCAGATGTGCAGGTGAACATCTGCTTGATGTGGAAGGTCTTCTTGGGGCCTGGGGTGGGGGTGAGGCGGGAGGTGTGGGGGCAGGTGTAGCACTTCCTGCGGTTGCAGGGAAAAGTGCCGGGTGTGGTGGGGCTGGAGGGGAGTGTGGAGCGGACAAGAGAGTCACGGAGAGAGTGGTCCCTCCGGAAAGCAGATAAGAGTGGGGAGGGAAAAGTGTCTTTGGTGGTGGGGTCGGATCACAGATGGCGGAAGTGTCGGAGGATGATGCGTTGGATCACGGTCAATCAGGCCGAGTATCAGTTTGTAAATTGCTCCTGTACATGCTCATGGCAGGAGGTAAGAGCAGGAGAGATTCCCGGCCAGCTTCATCATGGAAAGAACATTGGAGCCTGTTACCCCCACTATCTAGACTGCATCATGTATGTTGTCTCAGAGAACCTTGGTTGCTCTGTATAACAGTGACAAATCACTGGCATCACCCTCTTAGTGAGGTCCAGCTTGTATGTTTGCTTTCACTCTGGTATATCAGCTGAATATTGATGCTGCGTGTGCCACCATGTACCTAGCAAGTGCCGAGGTTATTGAGCCTGGAGGCCTTCACACGTCGGCCTTCCACTGGCGTCCCGACATTTTTGGTTATTTCCCTGGGTTTAGTGAGTAACAATCAAAGAGCTGGGTATTGAGGTGACACCTCTCGCTCACTCCCGTCCTGCCCTGGTTGGGAGTTTCAGGGTGACTGTGGTCCCCTGACTCAGATCAACAAATTCAGAGACCCGGGAACTAGTCCCAGAAACAGCCTGGAGTCTTAGCTCCACTCAGAAAATCTGGTGGGGGCAGAAGGGGAGGACTCCTGAGAGATTTTGACAGCTTCTACCTGTGATAAGTGATACTCTAAGTAACCATTTAAATGGTTAGAAAGAGTCACATCCAAATTATCTTGTGTATGTCACTGTACATCTACTTAAGGTCTTGGTTTTGCGATAACATAGAACATAGAACCTAGAACAGTACAACACAGTACAGGCCCTTCGGCCCACAATGTTGTGCCAAACTTTTACCCTAATCCTAAAGTCTATCTAACCTCCACCCCTACCTTATACTATCATCCATATGCCTATCTAATAGCCGCTTAAATGCCCCTAATGAGGCCGACTCCACTACCCTCTCTGGCAATGCATTCCACGTCCCGACCACTGTCTGAGTAAAGAACCTACCTCTGACGTCTCCCCTATATCTATCTCTACTCACTTTAAAACTATGCCCCCTCGTAATAGCTACCTCCACCCTGGGAAAAAGTCTCTGGCTGTCTACTCTATCTATACCTCTGACCATTTTGTACACCTCTATCAAGTCACCTCTCATCCTTCGTCGTTCTAAAGAGAAAAGCCCTAGCTCTCTCAACGTTTCCTCGTAAGACCTTCCCTCCATTCCAGGCAACATCCTGGTAAATCTCCTCTGCACCCTTTCCAACGCTTCCACATCTTTCCTGTAATGAGGCGACCAGAACTGGACACAACACTCCAGATGTGGCCGAACCAGGCTTTTGTATAGCTGGAGCAAAACTTCATGGCTTTTGAACTCAATCCCTCTATTAATGAAAACTAACGCACCATACGCCGCCTTAACAACTCTATCCACCTGGGTGGCAGCTTTCAGGGAACTGTGGACACGAACCCCAAGATCCCTCTGCTCCTCCACACTGCCAAGAATTTTTCCGTTAACCCTATATTCTGCTTTCAAGTTTTCCTTCCAAAATGAATCACCTCACACTTTTCAGGGTTAAACTCCATCTGCCACTTCTCAGCCCAGCTCTGCATCCTATCAATGTCCCTTTGTAACCTAGAACAGCCCTCCGCACTGTCCACAACGCGACCCACCTTCGTATCGTCCGTGAACTTACTAATCCACCCTCCCAATCCTACATCCAAATCATTTACAAAAATCACAAATAGAAGAGGACCCAGAACAGATCCTTGTGGTACACCACTCATAACTGAGCACCATGTTGAATATTTTCTGTCCACTACCACTCTTTGTCTTCTAAGGCTCAGCCAATACGCTCGCTGTATATTGGGTATATGTCACTGCACATGCGTAAAATTGTAGACAGAATTTGAGCCAGCAGCTGCCTTTGTCAGCTCCATATTTTGATGCTCCCTCGTTTCTCAGGCCCATTGTCCTTTCTCCTGCTCCTGAGAGGCTCCACAAAGGGCATTTCCTGGCCGTCTGACAGTAAGGAAGCAGAATGTCTTGGCGAGGGATTGGGAAATGGCCATGAGGTCTTTGATCTCAGTATCAGCGCCTTTATTTCATGCTGCACCTCAGAATGAAAGAGGCACAGGAAATGATACCAACCACACCCTCTGGCCTCAGCACCATCTCGCCCATCAAGCTCTCCATCAGTTCACCCAACAACCTCCCCCTTCCCCCAACTCCCAGCACAATCTCTGGATCTCCCTCCTGTTACACACGGCCATCCCCTGTGAGAAAAAAGGCAGATTAGGTGATTTCTTTTGGGTGCTGCTCCTGCCCTGGGAGAATAGCTGGAGACTCTGTGAAGATAGCAAGAGGGGAGTGTGTGGCTTATCGCACTGGAAAGTGTTGGGTTGGTGGTACATGAGTATTAGGCCTGGCCTCTGTGTGTTAGTGAAGGCCGCAGAGTGAGTGATGGGGCTGGGCTATCCCATGCAGTATGAGAGGTCAGTGTTACGGTGCAATGGGAAGAGGTGAAGATGTAGTCACTAGGCCTAAGCATATATTCAATATTATTTGGCGCTGCCGCCTAGTCCTCAAGCCTAGACTGTGACCACTGACCTCTCTGTCTGTCTGTCTCTCAGTCATCGAGTCCCTACAGTGTGGAAAGAGACCATTTGGCCTATCAAGTCTGCACCAAGCCCCTGAAGAACATCCGATCCATACCCTACACCCACATTTAGCAGGGCCAATCCACCTAAACTGCACATCTTTGTACTGTAGGAGGAAACCCACACAGACACAGGGAGAATGTGCTAACTCCACACAGTCGCCCAAAGCTGGAATCGAATCCATGTCCCTGGAGCTGTGAGGCAGTGGTGCTAACTACTCCGCCAACTTGCCACTGTAACCCTCTCTCCTTGAGTCTACTTCTGTGGCTAGTATCTCCAGCATGACATCATTGCATTTTGGATCCCATGCCCAATGCTAATCGCTCTTCAATTTTCATCCTGAATTCTGATTTCACAACTTTCAGTCTTCCATTGCAGCTTCTCTTTCAGAGGGGCAGGCAGTCTTTAATTGCTGGAGTCTTGCTGTGCTGTGTGAAGCGCAAGCCTCGCAAGTCCCAAAGCACTCAGGTGTGTGTGCGGTCAGACTGCAGCTTGAGTCATTTCATGCTCGTTCACATGAGGAGGCAGCATCACCTTCTGTCCTGTTCGATTTACTTTTTTTTTCTATTTAAGACCATAAGACCATCAGACATAGGAGCAGAAATTAGGCCTTTCGGCCCATTTAGTCTGCTCTGCCATTCAATCATGGCTGATCAGTTCCTCAACCCCATTCTCCCGCTTTCTCCCTGTAACCCTTGATCCCCTTGATAATCAAGAACCTATCTATCTCAGTCTTAAATGTACTCAATGACCTGGCCCCCACAGCCTTCTGTGGCAGTGAATTCCATAGATTCACCACACTCTGGCTGAAGAAGTTTCTCCTTATCTCCGTTCTCAAAGGTCTTCTCTTTACTCTAACGCTGTGCCCTCAGGTCCTAGTCTCTCCCTCCAATGGAAGCATCTTCCTGACATCCACTTTGTCCAGGCCATTCAGTATTCTGAAAGTTTCAATTAGATCCCCCATCATCCTTCTAAACTCCAATGAGTATAGTCCCAGAGTCCTCAAACATTCCTCATCTGCTAAGCTTTCCATTCCTGGGACCATTCTTGTGAACCTCCTCTGAACCCGCACCTGGGCCAGTACATCCTTCCTGAGATATGGGGCCCAGAACTGCACGCAATACTCCAAATGTGGCCTGACCAGGGCCTTATAAAGCTTCAGTAGTACATCCCTGCTTTTATATTCAAGTCCTTTCAAAATAATGCCAACATTCCATCTGCCTTCTTGACTACTGACTCAACCTGCAAGTTTACCTTGAGAGAATCCTGGACTAGAACTCCCAAGTCTATTTGTTTTTGTGGGACATGAGTGTCGCTGTCTGGGCCAGCATTTATTGCCCGTCCCTAGTTGCTCCTTGAGAAGGTGGTGGTGAGCTGCCTTCTTGAACCGCTGCAGTCCACCAGCTGTAGGTTGACCCACAATACCCTTAGGGAGGGAATTCCAGGATTTCGACCCTGCAACAGTGAAGGAACAGCGATATATTTCCAAATCAGGGTGGTGAGTGGCTTGGGGGGGGAGCTTGGAGGTGGTGGTATTCCCATGTATCTGCTGCCCTTGTCTTTCTGGATGGAAGTGGTCATAGGTTTGGAAGGTGATGTCTGAGGATCTTTGGTGAATTTCTGTGTTTGATTGTGTGGGGCTGCAATCTAATCTATACTCGGTGTGGACTCAGAGCAAGTTCAACAAACACCACAGAAAGTACTAGAAGCTGAGCTGGAAGGATCGGAGCCGATATTTTGTGATTGCCAAGATATTTTTAGAAAGTCTTATAAATAAACCTGTTGCATGCTTTAAAAACTAGTGTCACCTCTGCATTGTTTGAGACATATTGAACAAAACTGGAGAAGTGTGACATCACCCCAGGATGGATCTGTCTGATTGGCATCACATTTACAAACATTCTCATCCTGCGACAGTAATGGTTATGGCAGCAGTGTGCACCATTAACGGGAGGCACTACAGAAATTCACCAGGTCTCCTCAAGCAGCACTTTCCAAACCCGCGACCTCTACCATCTGGAAGGACAAGGGCGGCAAATACATGGGAAGACCACCACCTCTATGTTCCCCTCCAAACCAGCCTGACTTGGAATTTATATCCTTCACTGTTGCTGGGTTAGAATCCTGGAACTCCCCCCCCTCTCCAGGGCACTGTGGATCAACCCACAGCAGTTGGACTCGGCAGTTCAAGAAGGCAGATCACCACCTCATTCTCAAGGGCAACTACAGATGGGCATTAAATGCTGTGCCAGCCAATGATGCCCACCTCCCATAAATAAATAAAAAAAAAATATAAGGCAAGCAACACCTTGTGCGCGAAAAAAATGGGATGCCAAGTTTTATCCTCGTAAGTTCTGACATCTCACTCACTGGGTAGGGCTATCTTGTGGGGTTTGAGGCCCAGATGTTAGGGTGGAGGGAGCTCCTGGATATTGCTCTTGCTGGCAGTGTGTATGGTTTAGCAGGTGCACTGGAGGAGGGCTGTGACTCTCAGCTCACTCTGTGTCTGGGCAGATACCTGAAACTGCCAATTCAAGGAGTGGACTGACAATCTGGGAGCCTCCGTGTTCCCCTCAGCAGAGGTGGATGCTGCTGAGGCAGGCCCGGAGACTGTGAGCAGGCCTTGGCCCGGACGGTCCCATGGAGAGTTGAGGACAAAATAAGTGGGGCCAAAACCTGACAATCTCACTGAAGACATTCCTGGGCATCGATGTGCCCGATGCCCCTATTCCCAAGAAATCTGTAGGTGATCATAGATTCATATATCTGTTCCTGCCTCTGAGAACTTCCCTAGTGATGGGAATGTATTGGGAAGCTATGCCAATGTAGCTGTTGCTATTTGCAAAGCTATTCCCCACTGAGTTGGCAGAATCCTGCCCAGTTGTTCCCACTGGAAGTTACTGCTATCACGGCGATAGGACTCAGCCATGTGTTTCACCATTTATTTTCAAATAAAAGAAGCAGAACTCTTCAAGGGTTTGAAGCCTACAGTGAAAAGCTCACAACGTTTTGCAGTGATCTGACCTTCAATAGTGAACATTGTGTGTGCAGAAACAGTCAGCAGGTGTGAGCTCCATCTTGCGGTGTTTTAAGAGGACTGCACCCATCCCTTTGGGATCCTCGTTCATCCAAAATTTGTACCTTTGTCTCAAAGACTGCCACTTCTCAGTTGTCGGGTATCCAGACTAAACATACAAAATTCTTAGGTGGGTCGGGGTGGGGGGGGGGGTGGGGCAGAGGATTTGACAGAGTGGATGTAGAAAGGTTGTTTCTCCCAATAAAAGAGTCTAGGACCAGACGGCATGATCGCAGAATAAGGGGGTCGTACATTTAAAGCAGAGATGAAGAGGAGTTCCTCCTCATAGAGGGGAGTGAATCTGTGGAATTCTTTACCGGAAAGGATTGTCGAGGCTGGGTCATTGAATATACCCAAGGCTGAGGTGAGTGGATTTTTAATCCGGAAGGGAATGAGGAAAGGCAGGAAAGTGAAGTTGAGGATTATTGGGTCAGCCGTGATCTCACTGAGAAGCTGAGTGGACTTGACGGGTTAATTGGCCTACCTCCGCTCCAACATAGAATTATATGATGCAGAAGAGGTTTCTCAGCACATCAAGTCTGTACCACCAAAGCTACAACACTCCCACTTTCCTTCATTAGACCCAGAGCCTTGAATATTAGGATGCTTCAAGTGCTTATCCAAGTATTTTTTTAAAGGTTGTGAGGTTCTCCCACCTCATCTCCCCTCCCAACTAGTACATGCCAGACCCCCACCATCCTCTGGGTGAAAATCCTTTTCCTCAAATCCCCTCTAAACCTTCTGCTCTTCACCTTAAAGTGATGTTCCCTTGTTACTGACTCTTCACCTAAAGGGGAGCAGCTGCTTTCCATTCCCAGTCCATGCCCCTCATGATCTTATTCACCTCAGTCAGGCCCCCCTCAACCTTCTCTGCTCCAAAGATAGCAACCTGAGCTAATCCAGCCTTTCTTCATAGCTGAAGTCTTATGTTCTGAAGTGGAGAGAAGAGGGAGGAGTGTAGTTCTGATGGGCTGTGCCAACTAAAGCTGGCTCGCACCCTAAGGTTATACGGTGTTGTTAGATCTTCAGAACTCAGTTTGAGTTGAAGCATGGCCACATGAGCAGTGAGATAATCAATGGTCAACCATGCATTAATGCCCCCTGTGACATAGAATCCTAGAATCCCTACAGTGCGGAAAGAGGCCATTCGGCCCATCTGAAGAGCATTCCACCCAGACCCAGCCCATCCTATCCCCATAAACTGCAAATTTGCCGTGGCTAGCCCACCTGACCCGCATATCTTTGGACTGTTGGAAGAAACTCCAGCAGACACCGGGAAAACTTGCAAAATCCGTGCAGACAGTAGCCCAAGGCTAGAACTGAACCTGGGTCCCTGATGCTGTGAGGCAGTAGTGCTAACCACTGAGCCACCGTGCTGCCCCCGATTGTTTATTTCTGTTTAATTGGTGGAGGTATTTAATAAGTAAGAACATAAGATACCAGTGTAGGAGTAGACCACTTGCCTCTTCAAACTGTAAGGCAATAAAGTCATGGCTGAACTGATTGTGGCCGTAACTTCATTTTACTGCCTGCCCCCCATAACCCTCGAATTTCTCATCGATCAAAAATCGGCCTAACTCAACCTTGAATATATTCGATGGCCCAACCTGCACTGCTCCCTGAAGAAGAGAGTTCCAAAGGGTCATGGTCTATAAGGAACAGAAATTCTTCTTCATCTCCTACTTAACCTTGCTGTTTGTTTTATCTCAGGAGATTTAACGGGGTTGTTGTTTGTGACTTCCTTACAGCTACTAAATCCATGATGTTCCCTAAGGTTTTGGAGTAGATTTGTAGCTCGGGTTGTGGATGTTGTGGTTGGTTGGCTCGCTGGTTCGTTGTTTTTCCGCAGATGTTTCATTACCATGCCGGGTAACATCATCAGTGCAGCCTCCGATGAAGAGCTGTTGTGTTTTCCTGCTTGGTTTTAAAACTCTGGAGTCCGTTGAGCTGGATTACCTCACTTCCGGTTTTCCTTCTTAGTGGACTGTATATGGGGTCGAGTTCTATGTGTTTGTTGATGGCTTTCTTCGTGGAGTACCAGGCTTCTAGGAATTCCCGTACCTGTCTCTGCTTTGCTTGTCCCAGGATCTTGGTGTTGTACCAGTCGAAGTGGTGGTTCTCCTTATCCATGTGGATAGAGATGAGTGAGTATTGGTCGTGTCTTTTTGTAGCCAATTGATGTTCGTGTTCTCTTCACCCGCAGACGAACCCATCCAAATTAGATTATGCTGAGGACCTTGCACAGCTCATTGCCTTGAACGAGTCCAGCGTTCTCCACGTACTGCAGCATCGCTATGGGTCCCAGCTGATCCACACAAAGGGAGGCCCGAATCTCATCATCGTCAAACCACCAAGCAACATTTCCAACTACTCCGCAAAGGTAGCTGGGACTGAATAGTGTCTGAGAGCAAGATCAAAAAGTGGGGGGAAGTCATCTTCGCTGGGAAAGAGATTTGGAAAATAAAAATTTCCGGGAGTCGATTTTTGTTTGGAAAACTGGTGTCGGAAATACTTAAAGCAAAATTATTCACAGTATTAAAAGCGCAAGTGTTGGCTAGCAATTTAATTTCATGCAGACGGCTCCACTCCATGATGGAGTTGGTGGGAAAGGGCTAGCGTCGCTGGACTAATAATCCAGGTTAATGTGTTGGCTAGCAATTTAATTTCACGCAGATGGCTCCACTCCATGATGGAGTTGGTGGGAAAGGGCTAGCGTCACTGGACTAATATTCCAGGTTAATGTGTTGGGGCCAAAGGTTCAAAACCCACCATGGCAGCTCGTGGAATTTAAACTCTGTAAATAAAATCTGTAATTGTAAGTAAGTCTCAGTGTCGACCATGACAGGTATCAGATATTGGTGTAAAATCCCATTTGGTTCACCAATGTCTCTTCCTCAATGAAAGGAAACTACCCCCCTTCTCTGGTCTGGCCTAGGTGTAATTCCACTCTCACAGCAATGTGGTTGACTCTTAACTCTTGCCTGAAATGATCCTAGCAGGGTCCTCAGTCCAATGACAGTTAGCATTGTGCCAATAAATGTTTGCCTTGCCAGCAGTGCCTCTATTCCATAGAAAAATTGAAATAGGATGATCAGTTATGGTGTTGTGATGTAAGGTAATGTTAATAATCTGATAATCTCATGTAGTGATGTTAATTGAAAGATAAATATTGATTTGGGAACCCAGGGGATCTTCTTCAAATAATGCCACAGGACCTTAAAACATCCATCTGAGTGGGAAAATGGGCCTTGGTTTAATATTTCATCCGAAAGATAGCACCTCTGACAAGATTGAATCCTCTCAGTACTGCTTCATGATGTCAACCTCAGTAATTGCTCAGATAGTGGAGTGAGACTTGAAGGGCCAGCTTGCTGATTCTGAGGCCAGAGGGCTACTACAGTCATAGAGTTGTTCAGCACAGAAACAGACACTTCGGTCCAACTCGTCCATGCCGACCAGATATCCTAAATTATCCGGCAACTACTGAAATAATTGTGACTCACTGTGAGCAAGAGTAACAGAAGAGGCATCAGTCCTTGGTCCTGAGCCTTCCTGGGGTTCACAAAGCTTTGGCTGCCTTCTAGATATTGGCCAGGGTTTTGTGGTGATTTTCAGTGTGCTGTTTTTAAAGGATGGATGGTTTATTTTGCACTGTCTTTGTCTGTCCAGCTGTTCAAGGGGAAGAAGGATGGAATGCCACCTCATATCTTTGCTGTGGCACAGAGAGCCTATTGGAACATGCTGATCCATCGGAAGGACCAGAGCATCATTCCCTTGGGATGGAGCGGTGCTGGGAAGACTACAAGCTGCCAGTGTGCTCTTGAGTACCTTGTTGGTACAGCTGGCAGTGTGGGCACAACAGTGACAGGTGAAAACTGACCTTCCAGGCTTTACTGTTACAGTCACTCCTTCAGCTCCAAACCCTCTCATTTTACAGTCACAGAGTGCAGAGGAGGCATTTTGGCCCATCAAGTCTGCACTGAGATAACAAGGTGTGGAGCTGGAGGAACACAGCAGGACAAGCAGCATCAGAGGAGCAGGAAAGCTGATGTTTCAGGTCTGGACCCTTGAAACTTTAGCTTTCCTGCTCCTCTGACGCTTCTTGGCCTGCTGTGTTCATCCAGCTCTACACCTTGTTATCTCAGATTCTCCAGCATCGGCAGTTCCTACTATCTCTGAGGCTGCATTGACCTAGCCACATCTCCCAGCACTAGCCCCATAGCCTTGAATGTCATGAACTTGTTATGTTTGTAGCAAATTTCTTTTGTTGCCAACTTTTTGTGTCCTGCTGACACTTCGAGCCTGAAGATGTAAGGGTTAATTTTTAATCAGGCTTAACTGTGACGTTGTTACAGATACTGCACATTATCCCCTCGATTCCTGCACTGTGTGGTCCATCCAGCATCCCATTAGTATACCCAATCAGTGAGAAATCTACCCCAGTAATCCTACTGAGGTACTGGTGACTCCCTGCTGTCTCACTCGGGAGATCACAGTATAACACTTTCCTCGTTTGCATTTCTTTCCTGCTGGAAGAATATTGAGCAGAGCAGGACTACTGTTGGTCACTGCTTTCCCAGGTTGGGGGGTGCGGGTTGTTAATGAGGTATGTTGAGCCGCTTCCCCTTATCCATCACTCACTGTGACACTGACCAAGAGCAGGGCAATATTTAACAGGACCATGGGAAATGAATCATGGTTTACAAAAGTTGGCATTGTGCAGAGAGGCTGGAGTAAACAGGAGATTGCGAGGTCAAATTGCAGTGGTTCCTTTTCCATTTTGGATTATCTCTTTGACCTCTCGACTATGAAACCTTAGCTGCTGTTTTCCTGTTGACCAAACACACTGTTCGGAATAGTGCTGAGTCCTGAGCCCCCACTGAACCCGAAACATCGACTCTGCTTTCTCTCTCTACCGATGCTGCCATACCTGCTGAGTTTCCCTGGCAATTTCTATTTGTTTTTTTGGTTTCAGAACCCATGCTCCTCCTGGGACCTAATACTATCCCCATTACCTGGGAGCAGACACACCGTCTAACGTTGGGATTGAACTGCTCGCCTCCACTACTAGACCTGAAACCGCACACATCCCACCCCCTTAACCATTGCTCCCCCCAACCCACCCCACTTCCTGGGAGCTCCTAGCAGCCCCCCCATCCCTAAGGAACCTGAGACCCACCCGTCTCTCCACTGGACCTGATATCCCTGGTCCCCTTCCCACCTTGTACCTTACACCTTGCTTTCCTGGCTCCCTACTCACCTGGCACACTTACCCATCTAACTTCCCTTTCATAGGGGCCATTAATATGGCTACCTGCCATTCTTAAAAACTTACAAATGCGCAAAATGGCCGCTGTGATAAAGGGTGTTGGGTCCTAGTTCACCTATCCCTGACTATCCTACTATGTGAGGGACCTGTTAGAATTAAAGCAGGACTCCCGGATTTCTGCAGCAGTCCCGACTGGAATGTCAGGAATGCAGAGCCCATTCTTAATGTACACAGAAAGGATCAGACACAATCCGTGTGTGATTCCCTCTCCTTAGAAAATCTGACCACTTGGCCACACGGAGAAAATCTCCCTGACGTTGGGGGCATCGAGTGTATAAAATCTGAGCTGGATGCTGTGGGTTGTGTTGTGGAACGTCCTGGTTTATCAAGTGGCAACTCCAAACAATTCCACCTCAAAGACCACAAACCCTGAGCCAACCTCTGAAAGGAAAAACAGTACCGAATGTCATAGGCACTAAGAGAATCTAAATTGTAAGAGGTTATTGCCAGTCTGATTAAACAGGATTTTTTTTTATTCAGTGGAGAAGATCCAAGCGATGTTTACCATCCTCCGGGCTTTTGGCACCAGGTCCAGTCCTCACAATGACACCACAACGCGATTCTCCATGGTTGTATCACTGGACTTCAATCAAGCTGGGCTTGTATCTGCAGCTCACCTCCAGGTACTGCAAACCTCCCCAGGCCAGAATACACAAGGACCAGGGCCAGGAACGCCCCCCTCTCTCTACTGAACGGCATCTAAGATGTTCAACCGGGGTTAACAAAGTGCATACAGAGCAGATGTATCCCCCTGGATCTAGAACGAGAGTTCATAGTTTTAGGATAAGGGGGTGGCAGATTTAAAACAGAGATGAGGAGAAATTACTTCTCTCAAAGGGTCACAAATCTGTGGAATTCACTCCCTGCAGTGTGCCAGCAAACGAAATAAATTCAGGGAGGAGATAGGCAGATTATTCAGTTGTAACGGGTTAAAGGATTACAGGGAGTAGGCAGCAGAGTGAAGGTGTGATAGCTATGATTGTATTCAACAGCGGAGCAGGTTTTAGGGGCTGAATGACCTAATCCTGCTCCTAGTTCTTCTGTTCTTCTGACCACATCAGACTTCCAGCTGCAGCAGCAAGCTGTTTGGGAGCCAGGGATTTGTAATCCTCTCTGATCTGATTGATTGACCTAACGAAGGCAGTGCTTCATATTGGGAGATCTAGCTGAGTTAGCAATCCATCACTGGCCGTGAAGGACCAGATCCATATGCTCATACCTTGCTCTCAGTCTCATCGGGTGGCCAAAGGCACATGCCAACAATGGGAGTCGTTTCTGTATCTGGGTTGGGCTGGAAGAAACCATTCCCACACACACACCAGCGAGGCCATTGTCTATGTTAGTAGGATGTCCACTGGTTAGCCACCACTGTAGTAAGCTGATATGTCGCTCTGTGTCTGTAGGTGTTTCTGTGTGCCTAGGTATGTGTGTGCATCTGTGTGTGTCTTCGTGCGTGGGTTTGTACCTATCTATATGTGTGTTTCTGGTTGTCTGTGTGTGTGTATGTGTGCCTGTCTGTGTGTTTCCATCCATGTAACTGTGCCTGTGTATGTATGCATGCTTCTGTGTCTGTATGTATGTGTGCATGTCTGTGTGCATGTCTCTGTGTGCGTGTGCCTGTCGTGTGTGCATATCTGTATGTGTGTTTGTGTCTGTCATAGAGTCATAGAGCCATAGAGGTGTACAGTACAGAAACAGACCCTTCGGTCCCACCAGATGTCCCCGACTAATTGAGTCCCATTTGCCAGCATTTGGCCCCTATCTCTCTAAACCTTTCCTATTCATATACCCATCTAGATGCCTTTTAAATGGTGTAATTGTACCAGCCTCCACCACTTCCTCTGGCAGCTCATTCCATACACACACCACCCGCTGTGTGAAAAAGTTGCCCCTTAGATCCCTTTTAAATCTTTTCCCTCTCACCTTAAACCTATGCCCTCGAGTTTTGGACTCCCCTATGCTGGGGAAAAGACTTTGCCTATTTACCCTATCCATGCCCCTCCTGATTTTATAAACTTCTATAAGGTCACCCCTCAGCCTCTGACCATCCAGGGAAAATAGCCCCAGTCTATTCAGCCTCTCTCCATAGCTCAAACCCCACAACATTGGCAACACCCTTGTAAATCTTTTCTGAATCCTTTGTAATTTGTGTGTATCTGTGTGGTTGTATTTATGTGTGTATCTGTACCTGTGTGTGTGCCTGTGTGTGTGTGCATATGCGTGTGCCTGTGTGCGTGCCTGTGTGTGTGTGTGTGCGCGTGTATCTGTGTCTGTGCCTGTGTGTGTGTGCGTGTGTGTGCATGTGTGTGTGTCTGTGCCTGTGTGTGTGCGTGTGCCTGTGTGCGTGTATCTGTGTCTGTGCCTGTGTGTGTCTGTGCCTGTGTGTGTGTGTGTCTGTGTGTGTGTGTGTGTGTCTGTGCCTGTCTGTGCCTGTGTGTGTGCGTGTGTGTGTGTGCGTGTATCTGTGTCTGTGCCTGTGTGTGTGTGTGTGTGTATCTGTGTCTGTGCCTCTGTGTGTGTGTGTGTGTGTGTGTGTGTGTGTGTGTGTCTGTGCCTGTGTGTGTGTCTGTGTAATTCCCCTGTTTTAGACTGTCCCCTCTTGCCTGGCAGTGATGAATGCCAGCAGAATTCTTCTCACCTTGCGCCTCCATCTTCCAGATTTTAAGCTTAAGATATTTGTCCATGTCACAACATTTAAAAATAAGTATTAATCAAAGATCCTGTGAAAAGATAATGAAAGGCCTTACATTACAGCAAGGCCAAAATATACAAAAATGCCTTACAATTTATATTTTCTCAGCGTGATTATTCGCAAGGTGTCGACATTGCTAGAAAGATTTATTGTCCATCCCTAATGGTCGTTGAGGGTGGTGTTTATGATGCCATCATCCCTATTCTTGGCTAACACTTCTCTCCTGACTACATATAACACTGGCACACCGCAAACCATGGAGTGGAATTGTACATAGCTGCTTCTCAGATAGCAAATTGCTGCTTCTTTTCCCTTACCCTCCTTCCCGGCCAGAAATGGATTCCATTCACCGGGTTTTATTTGAGCAGTGGACATCTCAATCATTCCCAGTGGGATTGTACTGAAGTTGTGGAACACCCCCCACTTACTGACTGGATACAGCAGTAGACGTGAGAGTACAGATAGAATTATTTATTGCAATGAGATCTCTTCTTGATATTCAGAGGCGTCGAGCTGATTTTAGAACAAATCAGTATGGAGTCTGTTTTGAATGGCCTCATTGTGTCCTGTTGTTACATATTCATCCATTGGGCTGGTATCTCCACACTTTGCTCAGCATTGTCCCTGTTCTGCCCTTGTGTATTTGCCCAGTTCAGTTTGGCCTGGTTTGTATCGGTTCAACTTTCTGCATCCACCCCAAAGGTGGGTTTGCAAGGAGGCAGGTAGGGGGCAATCCCCTGAAATTCCCCGGATGGCCTTTCCACCCTTTACCCGGCTGTCCTGCAGTTTCTTCGCAGGAGGGTTGAAGGCAAGGCTGGCTGTTTGTTATCCTCGAATCAACCTGTCCAGGGATGTTATTACACTTGACTTGAACCCAGGCCTCATGCCTCAGAGACAGGGACATTACCACCATGCCACAAGAGTCTCCTGGGCAGACTGGCCTGCACTTTCCCCTAGTTGAGGCTCTTAAGTGGATAATTAATGAACACCAAAGGTCCATATCTTGTCTGGCCTCCATTCCCAGGCTGGTGGGATGGGTCTGGAAGCAGGAAGGATGCCTGGATAGTGACTCTCCTTTGGTCTTGGGTGAGAATATTGATGTGGGCTATCAATGACCTCCTTTCCACCACAGTGACCCCCTGCCCCCTCCCCTCCCCTCCCCCACTTCCTGGTGGTTGTTCTCTCACCTCCAGCCTCTCCATCAATTCTCACCAACTCCTCTACTCCGCATCCCCACTGGAAGACCACTCATATTGACTGGGTCCTGGACCCTGGGAAATACACAATGGACACTGCTTGCAGTTCCAGACCTGACCATTACAGCCTGTGGCAATGTTGGGGCTACTCAGCTGCAGGCCATTCTGATTGGTAATAGCTCTCTGTGGTAGGATGTCCTCCCAATGGATGGACCGGAATCCAATCTCCAGCCAATCAATGCTCCTTGGTGGTAAGGGCCACTTGAAAAATCTTGCCCCATGTGTGCAACCCTGAGCACATACTCCATCTCAACAAGTAAGGTATTGAGAGAGTGCTGCACTGTTCGAGATCCTGTAAGTAGGGCATTAAACCACAATTGTGCTTATTTTTTAAAGAAGGATGTTGAAAGAACGATAAAGGTAAAGTGATTGGGTTAGATTTAGGACAGATAACCTCAAAGGGGTGAAAATCTCTCCATCACAACATATATAACCCTAATGCTGCATTCCATTGAAATTTTGGATCATTTGTCATTGCCACTCCTGGGAGGGGGAGGGGGGCTGTGGTTTCCAAAATAACATTGCATACTCTCTCTCTCTTCTGCATACAAAATATTTTTCTCCCTTTAATTGTTTTAATCTGGAAAATTAGTTATAAGGGATATTACTGAAACCAGTCTTTGCTTTTATATTTATTTACAGTGTTAAATATTACAAGTATATGCCTCTTAACCCAGCTAAATCACAGTTTTAATCAATGTCTCTTTGAATGGGCCCAGGTGAAACCCCAATGAATAGCTACCATCTGCATATATTTACACACAATCAATATATAATTTACATCCATGACTTAGGCATCGTCTGCATTGAGATAGTACAAACCCATCTTGCCTTTTTGGCTTTTGACGATGGCGTTTACAGCTTGGGCTAATTGTTGAAGAACCTTACATGGAGAATGTGCAGTTTAGCCTTTTCTCCCTCCCAACAATGAAGTAGCTGACGTTGTGAAGTTACGACATTACTGAACATTATCATGTCCTACTGCATAGCACTGTGCTACACACACGCGCGCACATACACCTACATTCACACCAATACTCATAAACACATCTGTACTTACAACACACATCACACACACACACATTACACTCACACATGCGCACACATACACCTACATTCACACCAATACTCATTCGCCAATGTGACGCCACTGTTTAAAAAAGGAAGTAGACAAAAAGCAGGTAAATATAGGCCAGTTAGCTTAACTTCGGTAGTGGGGAAAATGCTTGAATCTATCATTAAGGAAGAAATAGCAAGACATCTGGATATAAATTCTCCCATTGGGAACACCCAGCATGGGTTCATGAAGGGTAGGTCATGTGTAACTAATTTGGTGGAATTCTTTGAGGGCATTACTTGCATGGTGGACATTGGGGAAGCTGTGGATGTGGTGTATCTGGATTTCCAGAAGGCATTTGACAAGGTGCCACACCAAAGGCTGCTACATAAGATAAAGTTCCACGGTATTACAGGTAATGTATTGGCTTGGATAGAGGATTGGTTGACCAGTAGAAAGCAAAGAGTAGGGGTAAATGGGTGTTTTTCTGGTTGGCAGTCAGTGGCTAGTGGTGTGCCTCAGGGATTAGTGTTGGGACCGCAATTGTTTATAATTTACGTAGATGATTTGGAGTTGGGGACTAAGTGTGGTGTGCCAAAATTTGCAGATGACACTAAGGTGAGTGGTAGAGCAAAGTGTGCAGAAGACACTGAAAGTCTGCAGAAGGATATAGATAGTCTAAGTGAGTGGGGAAAGGTCTGGCAGATGGAGTATAATGTTGATAAGTGTGAGGTCATCCATTTTGGTAGGAATAACAGCAAAATGGACTATGTTTTAAATGGTAAAAATTGCAGCACGCTGCTGTACAGAGGGACTTGGGTGTCCTTGTGCATGAATCGCTAAAAGTAGGATTGCAGGTGCAGCAGGTAATTAAAAAGGCAAATGGAATTTTGTCTCCCATTGCTAGAGGGATGGAGTTTAAAAACAGGGAGGCTATGCTGCAGCTGTATAGGGTCCTGGTGAGGCCACACCTGGAGTACTGTGTGCAGTTTTGGTCTCCTTACTTGAGAAGAGATATACTAGCACTGGAGGGGGTGCAGAGGAGATTCACTCGGTTGATTCCAGAGTTGAGAGGGTTGGATTATGAGGAGAGACTGAGTAG